ACGTTTCGACAAGGTTTTGTCATCATAAGGTACCTAATGATGACAAAACCTTGTCGAAACGTTGTACATTTGCTGTCATGTTAAGCTTATATTAAAGTTTTTCTTCATTACCCATTTAAGCCGTCTCCAGCCATTATTAGTCTCAAAGTGGGTTCCTCGTCATCGAACTTTGCAATACACTTAATTTCCACAGTCACTTTTACTTAAACACATGCTATAATTCACAACAATTCGCGCACGTTACTACTGCGCTTGACTCAATTGTCCGTCTCTGTCTGTCTGCAATTATCTATATATATATATATGTATATATATATATATATATGCCGTCACTTCTTGCTGGTCTTATGTACTATAAGAGCGCAAGTCTAGCAAACGCTAGCGTCTTCGCGAATGTTCTAGACACTCATCACGTGTTACCAGCGTCACATGACTTCCGCTGTCGTAACAGTATTATCATTAATAATCACAGAAATGTTCAGTCCAATTGAATGCAAAAAAATTTTATCTAACTGAAATACGTCAATACACTTTTAGTTTTTTGTAAAGTGAACATTAAAATTATGTAGAGCTTATTTTCAATATTAAATATAATGCAAATACATAGATAGTAACAGTGTAACATAATTGATTTTTATTTGAATAAACGTTTCATGTACGTTCAAACGAAAGTGTTATCTATTTTAGCTAACACTAAAGGTCAAAAAGATTTTCTAAATTTGACATTCTGCCCTGCATATTTTCTAAAAGCAAGCCAGTCAGTGACCTTGGATATGACACACGTCAGACTGTGATCAAGGTGAATGTTTATTCACCCCCTCTCTTAGTAAAAGGTCAACACTACGTTAGCCAATATTGGTAAAGTGTTATTTGGTGATTTTCGTGATTGTACATTCTAGATCTTACTTGAAACTGTGGTTTTGAATATGTATGTGATATAAATTACATCTCTAATGTAAAAGAAAGTTCAGCCCTCGAAAATTTATGAAAAAATGGTAGGTGTAGCTATTCTATAATAGTATTACGAAAGGAGAAGTCACGTGACGCTGGTAACAAGTCATGAGTTTCAAGAAGGATCATGACTTTTCTTGGCAACTCTAGTCTTTTCTAGATGCTCTCTATTTTAATATATATATAAGCCCCGCAAATAAACCGGAGAGATGATTGCAGATATATAGCTATAGAGATAGATAATTGAGTCAAGCGAGCGGTAGTGACGGT